TTACCAAAAGCAATCTACAGATTCAATGCAGAGCCCATCAAAATCCCAGCAAAATTCTTCACAGACCTTGAAAGAATGGTACTCAGCTTCATATGGCAAAGCAAAAAACCCAGGATAGCCAAAACAATCCTGTACAATAAAAGAACTTCTGGAGGCATCATAATTCCTGACTTCAAACTCTACTGCAGAACTACAGTACTGAAAATAGCCTGGTATTGGTATAAAAACAGACAGGAGGACCAATGGAACCAAATAGAAGACCTGGATATCAATCCACACATCTTCAAACACCTGATCTTTGACAAGGAAACAAAAAATATCAAATGGAAAAAAGAAACCGTATTTAACAAGTGGTGCTGGCATAACTGGATGTCAACATGTAAAAGACTGAAAATAGATCCATATCTATCACCATGCACAAAACTCAACTCCAAGTGGATCACAGACCTCAACATAAAGCCAACCACACTGAACCTCATAGAAGAGAAAGTGGGAAGTACACTTGAATGCATTGGCACAGGAGAGCACTTCCTAAATATAACCCCAGTAGCACAGACACTGAGAGAAGCAATTAATAAATGGGACCTCCTGAAACTGAAAAGCTTCTGTTAAGCAAAGGACATTATCAACAAGACAAGACAACAGCCTACAGAATGGGAAAAGATCTTCACTAACCTTACATCAGAGATCTGATCTCCAAAATATACAAAGAACTCAAGAAATTGGACACCAAAATATCACATAATTCAATAAAAAAAAAGGAGTACAGACCTAAACAGAGAACTCTCAACAGAGGAATCTAAAATGGTTGAAAGACACTTAAGGAAATGTTCAACATCCTTAGTCATCAGAGAAATGCAAATCAAAACAACTCTGAGATTCCATCTTGCACCTGTAAGAATGGCCAAGATCAAAAACACTGATGACAACTTATGCTGGAGAGGTTGTGGGGTAAAGGGAACACTTCTGCATTGCTGGTGGGAGTGCAAGCTGGTACAACCCCTTTGGATATCAGTATGGTGGTTTCTCAGAAAATCAGGAAATAACCTTCCCCAAGACCCAGTAAAACCACTTTTGGGTATATATATCCAAAGGATGCTCAATCGTGCCACAAAGACATGTGCTCAACTCTGTTCATAGCAGCTTTGCCATAGCCAGAACCTGGAAACAACCTAAATGCCCCTTGACCAAAAGGAAAATGTGGTACATTTACACAATGGAGTACTACACAGCAGAAAAAAGGATAACGACAGCTTGAATTTTGCAGGCAAATGGATGGAGCTAGAAAACATCATTTTGAGTGAGGTAACCCAGACCCAGAAAGACAATTATCACATGTACTCACTCATAGGTGGTTTTTTAAACATAAAGCAAAGAAAGCCAGCCTACAAACCACAATCCCAGAGAACTTAGACAATATTGCGGACACTTAAGAGAGACTTACATAGATCTAATCTACATGGGAAGTAGAAAATAGGAAAAGACAAGATCTCCTGAGTAAATTGGGAGCATGGGGACCTTGGGGAAGGGTTGAAGGAGGGGGAGAGGCAGGCAGGGGAGCGGAGAAAAATGTAGAGCTCAATAAATATCAATAAAAAAATCCAAAAAAAGTGAATCCGCAGCCTCTCACTTTCTGTGTGTGTGGGAAATTTATAGTATAAAAATGTACACAATGTGTGTTGTATGACAGTATACAAACTCTGTAGAGAAACTGCAAAGAAAAGGCTGATAAAGCTAGTCAGTAAATATTTTATATTTTCCCACTTATCTTTAAAGAACATTGAACATTGTTCTTTAGTTCAGACTGTCCCCCAAATAAATGAAAACACAGCAATATTAGAAGATGGTAAATTGGAAAAAACGGATCCAGCTGAGTCTGTGTTGAGATGTTTAGCCCACCTGCTCCTGGTCTGATGTGGTAGCGGATCAGAGGGAAGTAAGTGCTCCGTGGAAGGCAACCGGCCGCATCTTCACCACTAGTTCCAACACGCAAGAGCGCTCGCTTAGCATGTGCAAGGCAGAGCGGGCCAGGAAAAGAAGTTCGAAAATGTTGTTTGTGAATAAGGATTTGGTGGTTCTCTAGCGCTCTCAGGTGACTGCGCTGAAGTATTGTTTGGCTGTGGGAACAGTGGAACGGAAGCCCAGGGCCCTCAAAAGCCTGACAGCCGATACACATTTTGGAAGTTATGGATGAACTTCATACATATTCACATGCAAGTTCTTGTGAGCAGCGGTTTCCAACTCTCTTGCGAGGCTGTAGTTGGAGGAGCCTGTGGAGCTGCAGACAGAACCCAGGGCCTGTCTGTCCTAAGCAGGTGTCAGGCCACTGAGTTACTCATTCTCCTACCTTTTACTGAGCGTTTGTGAACATTTTACTTAATCTAATTATTTTCCTCATATATATATATGTATTCAATATATATGTTCAATATATTATATTCAGTATATAATATTCAACACAATATATATAATATATCAAATATAATATATATTCCATATATAATAATGAAACTGTTGGTTGTCTCTGTCCAAAGACCAACAGAAATATACCGTCAGTTAGGCAAATTGGAATTTATTGGCTCATTACAATGAAGAAGGCAAAATGTCGTAGTGACTCAATAGATTTAGAAATTATTCTTGGATAGCCTATCATTTGCATTAAATAAACAATAAAGTAGGGTTGTAGCTGTTGGTGGGAAAGAAGTGGTGACCCTGCAGAGTAGGCATGGGAGGTATGGGATGGTCCGTCTGTGTTCAGGACTTTTAGCTGTTAGTGTTCCCGTTTAGGTTAGTACTATCAGTTGGTAATGGCTTACCTGCCATCCTGATCCCTCCCTCCCTTCCCCTTACCTCTCTCCCCTGAAGCAAGAGTAATAAAAACTCAGAGAGAAACTGGGATTCAACGTGAAGACCTGAAAAGCAAAGCAGCCAGCCACTAGCTCTTACCTCGACCCGAAATGGCATCCCTGCCTCCAGGAATCTCAGAATGAGACTGTGTCTGAGAGCTGTTTCCTCCCATTTTACAATCTTCTCTAGTTCTGGAATTAAAGTCATTAAAACACTGCCAGGTTTCTATGGCAACTAGTGTGGCTACTAGGATTAAAGGCGTGTGTCATTGCTGGCTGTTCTGTAAGGCTGACCAGTGTGGCTGTTTTACTTTTGTGATTCACCAGGGAAGCTTTATTTATTAAAATACAAGTGAAATACCACTTCATTCTCCCTCCCCATTTTCCCCTTCTTTCCCCTTTCTTTCTGTTCTTCCCTTCCCATGTTTCCATTTATCTCCATTCATCTCTGAAGCTTCAGGACATGTTTTTTGGCCCCCCCCCCCTTAAAGTGGCAAGTCTCACATGTTTTTCAAAGGGTGTAAATACTATATTTTCTGAATTTGTGACACATTTCTAGTGTCCAGTGACCACTGAAGACGTAGGGTGTCCAAGATTGTTTTACTCTGTCATCCTTCCTGGCGGGGACAGGCTTTTACCTTCTGTATCCTTTGCCGTCTATGCGTTGAAAAGGGAAGGAAATGGGGACTAATTTGGTTCAGGCACGTTTTTTTAGTCTTGGATCAGAATTCCCACTTCTGCCAGGCATGATGCCACAGGCCTGAATGCCTGGTAGAGATAGACCGACCAGGATGTGTTACCTGAAACCCTGTCTTTGAGACAACAAAAAAAGGAGGGGAGGGGATTATTTGGGATAATTTAACCCGGCAAAATTGAGGCCCACAGTCTAAGCCTGGGAGAATCTGATAGCCCAAGATACCTGAAGGACTCATTTTGGTTTCCATTCTCGTCCTTCCAGAGCCTAGTTCTTTGAAGATATTCTCAACTTATGGGTCACGAGCCCTTTGGGTGTTCGAACGCTTTCACAAGGGTGGTCACCACAACATGAGGAACTGTATTAAATGGTCACAGCATTAGGAAGGTTGAGAACCACTGCTTAATGCCTAACACAAGTTCTTCCTTTTCCTTTTGACAAGAAGAAGAAAGTTTGGAAAAACCCAGAAAATGCGGGTGGTGGGGCCGCAACTTGTTTTTTTTTTTTTTTTTTTTACCAGATGCTACAATTTAATTTGTAGGACTCTAGACAAGGAGGGGGGGAAAAAAAAAAGAAGCCTCCAAGTAACCACGAAGGGATTCGAACCCTCAATCTTCTGATCCGAAGTCAGACGCCTTATCCATTAGGCCACGTGGTCACTGCTGTAAGACCTGTCTCAAAGACTTAGGAAGTAAAAGGAACTTCCAGCGGCGCTCTTGCGGTAGGTATAGCGTAAAAAGAAATTAGGTCCACGCCGCGGATTTTATTTGGGGCCACAGGATCGGATTTTGGAAATTTTGAGACTAAATTACTTCGGTATTAATACAGAACATGGCTGGTTCACGGAGAGAAAAGTCGTTTGCGTGTCCTCAGACCCTGCTTCCCCTTTCATGCAGTTCTACGTGCGTGTGCGTGTGCGTGGGTGTGACCCTCCGGTGACAAAGCTGCTTTTCCACCTTCTGGCACTTTTGCTGATCCCTTTTAGAACCCTCCCTCAGCTGGAGAGAAGAGTGTCTGTCACCAAGAGAGAACAAGAAAGCCTTCTTCAGTGTGGCATCTTAGTGAGTCTTTTCCTGTATTGTAATATTCGCTGTAATCTTTAAACTGCGCCCTGTGTTAGGTGAGGACTTCCCCCAAGTCACTGAACTAGTGGGTGGTTAGGGGCTGCACTCAACAATTGGTTTTGTTCTCATGGCCTGAAAAGTAGTCTCATAATAAAAAATAATTAATAATAATAGTAATAATGATGATGGTGGTGGTGATGATGGTAATAATAATTTTTTGAGACAGCGTTTCTCTGTGTGACCCTGACTGTCCTGGAATTCGCTCTGTGAACGGGGCTGACCTGGGAACTCAGAGATCCACCTGCTTCTGCCTCCTGAGTGTTGTGATTAAAGACGTGTGCCACCACCTCCCAAGTAGTCCCCTCTTTTTTTTTTTTTTTTTAATATTTAATATTTTAATGTCTGAGGCAAGAAAACAAGGCTACCAGGTGCTTGGTGGTTCTGTCAGTTATTCTCAAGGGCTGATTTTGATCTCTAAACCCCCACTGAGAAGAAATAAGACTTCCATCCCCCCCCATGGCCTAAGGGGAGAGAGGTCTTTAAACTTCGGTTTTCTAATCCAGTAGAGTTATTTTTAAAAGGCATGGCTAACCCTGTTGATAGAGGCAAAAGGAGCGGTTCGAGGTCAATCAAAAGAAAATACTTACCTAAATTATAGGCTACTTAATGTATTTTTTTTCTTACTAATTTCTATGACGGGATTTGATACATAAACTTTAGACAGGAATCCTTCCTGGGAGAGGAATATAAGACAGTGAATACCCAGCTTAAAAAATAAGCGTAGACAATAGCAATGGCTTCCCAAAAGACTTATCAGAAATGTGGCGATTAAAGACACAGGACCAGTGTTGGCAGCAGAAGTGGTTTTCTCATTCAGACTTGGCAAATAAGGCCTTATACATTATGTAATGAAAGAAACTGAATTGGTCTTTCGTTCTTACCCCTGTGTTCCCCTTTGTTTAGCCATTTTAGGAGTAAAGTGGCAAAATAACCAGAATAAATATGATTTACTAGAAAGAGAACCCTTTAGTTGTCATTTAAACACCCATGAAAAAAATTGCAGTTTTGGCTAGCAGAGGATGGTTTCGATCCATCGACCTCTGGGTTATGGGCCCAGCACGCTTCCGCTGCGCCACTCTGCTGCACAGCAGGTAGTTCCTAAAAACATTCTTATCTTTGTTTGCAGTACTAAGACCTGCTGGAAGTAACTTGTTGGGAATAATGTCGCTACCGAATCAAAGACAAAGCAAAATCTGACAAGAGTAGCAAATACTAACATACTAATAAGTGACTCGATGTGTATGAAAAAGCCCGGTAGATATTCAAACGAGAGTCACGAATTTTCGCCAATGGAGACAACAAGACAATATAAATACTGTCCTCAGCACGGCAATTGGTAACAGTCTTAGTGGAAAACCACGCATTTACCTGCGGGTGTCAAGACTGGGGTCAGATTTGTTCTGTGGTTGAGATCGAGGAGAAAATGGTGCAGTGTTCTCTCCATTGTTTGGTCCTTTGGAACAGGGAATAAAACTGACTCACACGCCGCCCGCATCTGCATTTCTGATCGTTTGACTGACCAAAGCTCCGCTGTCGCCCTAATACGTACCAAGTGGCAAGTGGCAAATGTGCATCGTTAAAGACATTCTTTAGTCTGAATTAGTTAAAATGGCCGGGAAGTCCTGTTTTGAGACAAAGGACCCAGCTCAGGGAGTGGGAACCTCGAGCGTTGGTGACGTCACCAGCCAGTGCCATGTCAGGGGCGTGGTGAACGCGCTCGAGGTTTCAGTCTTCAATTAGGTCCGACAGCCTTGCATATAAGGGAAGTGCCTGCGCTTCTCCCGGCACTTTGGTCTGGTCGTCAGCAGCCTAGCCATGTCTGGTCGCGGCAAGGGCGGGAAAGGCCTGGGCAAAGGCGGCGCCAAGCGCCACCGCAAGGTCCTGCGCGACAACATCCAGGGCATCACCAAGCCCGCCATCCGCCGCCTGGCCCGGCGCGGAGGAGTCAAGCGCATCTCCGGCCTCATCTACGAGGAGACCCGCGGGGTGCTGAAGGTGTTCCTGGAGAACGTGATCCGCGACGCCGTCACCTACACGGAGCACGCCAAGCGCAAGACCGTCACGGCCATGGACGTGGTCTACGCGCTCAAGCGCCAGGGCCGCACCCTCTACGGCTTCGGCGGCTAAACTACTCTTGGCTGCTGACTTTCCAAAAAACCCAAAGGCCCTTTTCAGGGCCGCCCACATTCTCTGTTAAGGGCTAACATTCATGTCTTTATTGAATATTGTTGCGTTGCTCGTATTAACGTAAGAAATAGTCCTGCTTGGAATGTAGTTAATGTAGTCTTCCGTTCCTCTCGTTGCTACCTTGGCTTTTATTAGAAATTGTGAAAAACGTCCCTACATAACACTATGAAGCTTGGTGTTTGATATCCTTCCTCTATTTAGATGGCGCGAGATGCGGGGACAAAGCGCGTGAGCTTGGAGGCGTATCCAGGGACAAAGACGCCGGGCGGTGGCTGAGCACACAGCCAGGACTGGTTGGTCGGTTCTGTGCTTTGTCCTCTGCTGAGGTCTGAAACCAGGCTTGAAGGGCTGCCTGAAGTGAAGATCCACGCCACGTTTAGGCAGCTTTTCTCCCGGCACACCTGTGGTGGACTTGTGTTCGCTTAAGGGAAGGATTATCACAATTGGACATTACAATTTACATATACAATGTAAAACTGGGTAGTTTTGCTGTGCAACTTTATGCAGACCTCCGGACTTTGTTGACTGGTCGGTTGAGCGTTGTGAATAAACAACTTAAGACCAAGCACATTTCTGATATTTTCAGTGTGGTCCAAGTTTGTACCTTCAGAATCTGATTTCAGCTAGAAGCGGTAAGATTGACAGTACTGTACAACAAACACTTTGAGGTTAAATGTCGTGATGCCTTGTTTAAAAACAACAGAAAAGGTGCTCTTCTTCGTGGCCAGCAAGTTAACTTGTGTGGTTATCCTCAAATCAAAATCAATGTAGTTAATGTGGTTGTCATTTGACTATTCTCTGTAGAGCAGGGCAATTCTATGGGATTTGCGTCTCCTTCCACCTAAGGATCCAACTCAGTTTTAACATGTTTTGCAGCAATCACTTGCTGAGCCTTTTGGCTGTCTCCCTGCTTTATTTTTTTTTTATTAATTATTATTAGATTTGGTTTTTCCTTTTCAAGATGGGTTCTTTGTGTAGCCCTGATGGTCCTGGAACTCACTATAGACTAGGTTGGCTTCGAATTCACAGATCAGTTTGTTTCTGCTGCTTTTGCCTTTAATTCTGAGTGCCGGGATTAAAGGCCTGTGTCACCACTGCCCAGCTCTCATCTTTACTTTTAAAGATAAGGGTTTCTGTGGGTAAGGGGGGGGGATGGGGAATCAGACACTATTGAAGGTTAAGAACATGTTTGAGGAAGAAAAAAGTATCTGAGGCTTAAAAAAATGATCGGAACACACCAAGATCAGGAGCGGTTCTGTGCTATGTGAATTATAGGTATGAATAATCTAAATGTGTATGCATGGGCGTTAGTGCACCATGTGCTCAAGGAGGCCAGAAGGGGGTTTCAGATCCCCTGGAACTGGGGTTCAAAACAGGAGTGGACCACCTTGTGGGTGCTGGGAGTCAGTTCTTGTCCTTAGCACGAGCACCCAGTGCTGGAGCAGTCTCTCTAGCCCCGGACAAAACATTTTCAATCTTCCAGGACTTGGTGTTGATTGGGTGTGGGAATGCAGAGAAGTCAAGCAGAAAAGGCATAATGTGTGCTGGGAGGAGGTAATATTTAGATGAGGGGGTGGTCGTGAAGCTTTAGTAATGAAGTGATGACCAGAGCAAAAGACAGGGTGAAAGTGAAAGGGGGTTCCTGCTAGATCAGAAAAGCCTGATGAGAAGAGACAGCCTGAGACTCAAATGGAATGGAGTGGCTCTTGGGTCCTTTTGGGGGCTTTCGGAACTACTCTGGGTTTTGCTCTCAATGAGGTGAGTGACGTGGGAACCACTGCAGGAGTTTTACCTGAAAACAGGCAAGGTCTGATTCATATTTCAAGCTTGATTTAAATGTATTGATAAGGAAACTAGTAAGGAGGCTACAACAACAATTTAGTTCATGGAGGACATTGGTTTGGATCAGTGGCCTAGGCTATGAAAAGTGCTTAGAGTCTGTGTATAGTTTTGCAGGTTAAAGGCCTACCCTTGAACATTTATATTTGTTGTTTTTATTTTTAGCAAAAATGGAAATACTGACAATATTAAAAATATTCAAGGAGGCTGGAAAGATGGCTCAATGGTTGAGAGCACTGGCTGCTCTTCCAGAGGGCCTGAGTTCAACTCCCAGCAACCACATGGTGACTCACAATCATCTGTAATAAAATCTGGTGCCCACTTCTGGCATGCAGGCAGAACACTGTATGCATAATAAATAAATAAATCTTTAAAATAAATAAAAATATTGAAGGTTGGGGCTAGAGATGAGTCAGAGTTCAGTGCCTACCATCTAAGTTGGTTGTTTAGAACAACCACATGTAACTCCAGTTCCAGGGGGAATTCCTTACATATACACACAGAGACACATACGTATAGTTTAAAATAAATTAACTCTTCAGGAAAAAGGATTGAAGCTAACACCAACAGTGCTCTGTATATTGTTTAGCATCTTCTTCAGTCTACCCAGGGTCTAGACAGGGGTGAGACATCATACCTTCCAAGTTTCTTTTTTTTTTTTTTTTTTTTTTTTTTTTTTTTTTTTT